AACACAAAACTTGTTTATCTGATCTGTACAACATCAAGTTTTAATTGGATTGGATTGGGTTTGACCCAAACACAAAAAAAAATCAATCAAAACTCATTGGATTGGATTAAGTTAGTTCAAGTTCTCGGATTATCTATACCCGCTTAATTACACTCCTACTAGTTAAGTTATTGGCTAATCAATGCAGTTTGACTGTACATCTTTTTTAAGGCCTTTTTATATAAAAAAAGGAAGAAAATATCTATTTAAGTTCACATGCCTTTTTAATATTGAATTTTTTTGTATTATATAGGTGGGATATCATGACATCACACTTACCTTTTAATACCATATTGTTTTCATTTGTTTCAAAAACTTCTAATTAAATTCCTAGTTTTAAAATGTTAAATACACCAAAATTTAAATTAATTTCAAAATTAATTTAAATTATATATCAATTTTAATATCTTTGATAATTTTTACTTGAAATCTATTAAAAAAAATAAGGAAAAAGATTAAAAACATGTCTTTTATCCGCATAATTTAAATTTTCACTTAATGAAGTTTATGAAATACACAAAATACATTACTATTTTATTAAACTAAAGATTAAATACATGTATATATACATATATATAAATATTTTTGTTAAGTTCTAATAATTTTATTTGTGCAAAACACATGTTAAATGCTTATTATATATAACAAATATTTTAAAAATTATATGTATCAATAAATACTGTGTTTGATGATATAATTTATATTAGGGTTTTTGAATGTATAATGCACATGCTAAATATTTATTATATATAACTAAAACTTATAAACAAAATTATATATACACCTAAATAATTAATTTTACATATAAATCATATTTAAAATGCATGTAGAAAAATATTTTTAAACATGAAAATTAAATTTTATAATTATGATAAATAATTTATATTGTAGCATAATATTATTTTTATTTATTGATAAATTATTATAAAAATATTATAATTTTGTTTGTAAATACTTATAGTTTCTATTCAATAAATAGGGGTTGATATTAGTTATATAAAAATTATTTATATAACTATTACAATATAGTTTTCGCTCAAATTCTTATTTTTTACATGTATTCTTTTTAATCTTTTAAAATAATTAAATTTAATAAATTATAACATAAAAAGGTGAAAATCATTATTTCTTTTCAAATTTAGAAGTTTTTTTTTTAATTTCTTTTCGTGAATTCTATTTAAAGAATATCTTTTTTTTTCTTAAATAAATCGTGAAAAGTTGAGAACGCCTTAATTCTTAGACATCATGCTTATGTTCTCAATTTTCTTAATCTCAAAGTCACATGTTTTATACTACTTTATTTATATAGTTTAACATGTTATTATTTTCAACAAAAGATATGAAATCAAATATGAGAATTGTCATTTTTTGGTTGATATTTCTATGAAAAGATTTGGGAAATCTCAAAAACATGTATAGTAAATGTTGACAAATATTTTATTTGAAAGGAATTACATTACTAATTATTCAAGGGTGTTTTACACCACAAATTCCGACCATCTCCGATTATTACAATAGAACTTTACTTCAATCACTTCTTTTATTTTACTTTTATAAAATAATTATTCATAAAACTTAATTCTTTTTACAATGACAATAATAGTAATATTCTGAACCTTGTTTTCCACATATGCCAGATTGATACCCTTCTCCAAGGCAACATTGATTGCAAAAATAATTACTTAGACATTTTACTCCATCACATTGTGATGCAAGCGGCGACACGTCACTGAGTACGGTTGAATATCCTACATTGAAAGTTCCTTGCTTTTGTTATTTGAAATTTTAACATAAAATTTATATGAAATTTGGACAATTGTTTTGCCCTATTCCATAAAATAATATCAAATAAATGTCTCATGAGAATTATATGTAATAATAATATAAAAAGAAATTGCAAAAGTTAAACGTTTAACAAATTACCTAAACTTAGAACAAATGCAACACATAAAATTCCCAAGATAAAAGGTTGATCAAAGCGAAAAGTCATTTCAAAAGTTTTGTATTTTCAATTTGTGATCTTTTCTTGTGACATGTATAGTTTATTCTTTAAACGATATATATATATATATGTGTGTATGTATTGAAAGTTATGATTTTTCCTTTTCACTAAACAATTATGTATTATTATTGTTATTTACAACAAAAACTGTTTTCAAAAGGTTATTTTTTTGAAATGATGACAGGTTTATAAGTTGTTGGAATGATATTAAATAAAAATAAAATTATAAAATATTCACATTTATAAAAAAGATTCAATTGATTTTAATAGTGTTATATATTTTTTTTAATGTTTTGGTTTCTAAATGTTATAAAACATACATTTAAAATAGTGGGTTTAATTTTTGTATTAATTAAGGATATAAAACTTTTATATTTTTACATTACTCATAAATTGTGCGGTTTATATTAGGAACCATTGAGCATTCACTGTTAACTTGAAAATTAAGTTATAATTGTATCAATTTTAATGTGCTACAAAAATAACATCGAACAATTCAACAATTAATACTGACATGTCGATTTAGGTGACTGATTCCTCTTTAAACAAGGTCTGAATTTTGTAGGTGAAAGATTATATGATTGGGATAGGAAATCCACTTAGGGTTGATAAGGGCATCTCCAATATTTGAGTTGCTTCATGCATTGAAAAATGAAAAAAGTGGTTCCTAGTGTGCCATATCAGCATTAAGCAACTCAAACACAAATCGCACTGCTATAGGTTGCAAGTGGGTCTTCCGTGTCAAGGAAAATCCTAATGGTACGGTCCAAAAGTACAAAGCACGTCTTGTTGCCAAAGGATTTAATCAACAATTTGGCTTTGACTATCATGAAACTTTCTCCCCTGTTATCAAACCCGTCACTGTCAGGCTCATTCTCACCCTTGCCCTAACTCATCGTTGGCCCATTCAACAACTAGATGTTAACAATGCTTTTCTCAATGGCACCCTTGAAGAAGAAGTCTACATGACACAACCACCAGGATTTGAAGCATCTGATAAAAATCTCGTCTGCAAACTACACAAAGCCATCTATGGGCTCAAACAAGCACCTCGTGCTTGGTTTGACAAGCTCAAATCAACTCTGCTGCAATTAAACTTTTATGCCAGCAAATGTGATCCGTCTCTGTTTGTATACTCTCATGCCAATAATGTCATCTACATTCTGGTGTATGTTGATGACATTATAATCACTGGCAATAATTCCACAATTCTTCATACGCTTGTCTCTCAACTCCATTCAATCTTCTCTCTCAAAGACCTCGGTGATCTTGATTTTTTTCTTGGCATTGAAGTAAAATCTCAGCCTGATGGTTCTCTCATTCTCACTCAAAGTAAGTACATCCGGGATCTATTGAATCGTACTGATATGGAAGGATCAAAACCTATTTCTTCTCCCATGGTTTCTGGCAGCAAATTATCAAAAGCAGGCTCTGAAGATTTCTTGGATGCTTCTCTCTATCGTTCAGTTGTAGGTGCATTGCAATATGCTACCATTATAAGACCTGAAATTAGTTTCTCTGTAAACAAAGTCTGCCAGTTCATGTCTCATCCCCTTACACATCATTGGGCTGCTGTTAAAAGAATTCTCAGGTATCTGAAGGGCACTACGTCCTGGGGTCTTCGTCTGCAACCTGCTTCTTCCCCTTCCTCTCTCTCAATTCATGCCTATTGTGATGCAGACTGGGCGTCTGATCCTGATGATAGGCGATCTACATCTGGTGCCTCCATCTTCCTAGGACCAAATCTCGTGTCCTGGTGGTCCAAAAAGCAAATTGTTGTTGCGCGCTCTACTACGGAAGCCGAATACAGGAGTCTTGCCCTCGCCACAACTGAAGTTACTTGGATACAAACTTTGCTCTCTGAACTTAAAGTCAATCATTCTACTCCAATTATCTTCTGTGACAACTTGAGCACTGTGGCTCTTGCTCACAACCCTGTTCTTCATGCACGTACCAAGCATATGGAATTAGATCTTTTCTTTGTTCATGTTCCAGCTATTGATCAATGTGCTGATGTGCTCACCAAAGCTCTCTCGCCTTCGCGATTTTGTGATCTTAGGTCCAAGCTTCAAGTAGTTGAGTCTCCTCATCCTACTTGAGCTTGCGGGGGGCTATTGGAGTATAGTTTTACTCCTTTATTGTTATTTTTGGTTATTATAGATATTTCAGTTATTATAGATATTTCGATTATTATAGACCAATCTTAATTGGCTCTATATAAACCTGCCCTGTACTCTGTTTTCTGTTGGTTAATGAATTACATTCTTTTGCCTATTGTAAATCTTCTCTCATCTCTCTCTCGCTTTCTCTCTCTCTGTCTCACTCACATATAATTCCTTTATTCATCTTAAAATCAATTGACATTAAGTAAAGTTGCTTAATAGATATATAAGTTGCACTCCCAAGAATTGAGGCAAGCGATGTGAAACCTTCCAACATCCCCTTCCACAGATGCCTACCAAAACAGATGAACCTACTAGAATAGGCAATTTACAAGACAGGCTATGGACTCTAATACCATATTACATTTCATTTTAAAACCAATTGACATTAAGTAAAATTGTCCAACAAATATATAGGTTGCACCCTAGGAATTGAGGCACGTGATGTGGGACCTTCCAACATGCAGAAGCAAAATACAAAGCCATGGCCATTACCACATGTGAACTAATGGCTGAAACAACTCCAGGAGTTAGTTTTGAAATGTAGGCCTATGAATATCATCTATGATAATCAGAACACTTTGCACATTGCTACTAATCTAATTTTTCATTAGCAAACAAATAATATTGAGATTGACTATCATTTTATTTGTAAGAAGATTATCTTTAGGGATCAAGGATTTCATAGATATGTAGCAAGCTAGATGTATTCGAAACTTTACTAAGTCTCTTTTTTAAGTTTTAGTTGCAAAAGACCTATCAACTGAAAGAGACAAATATGAAGTTATCAAAATTACCTTTGAAGTAAGGGTCGAACCAGTTATGCTAATAAAATTTGCACCAGCTTCAGTCGCAAGTGCCTTAGCCAAAAGGGTTTTCCCAGTGCCAGGAGGACCAAAAAGTAATATTCCCTTACAGGGCTGGAAAATGTTTCTTCAAATTAATTACACAACCACCAGATTATCTCTCTCTTAGAATATTTGGTTGCTCTTGCTTTCCCCATCTTCGGCCCTACAACAAACACAAACTTCAATTTCGATCCCAAGAATGTGTTTTTCTTGGTTACTCCACTTCCCACAAAGGTTACAAATGTCTTGCTGCTGATGAGCGTCTCTACATCTCCAATGATGTAGTGTTTAATGAAACTAAATTTCCCTACAAGGAACTCTTCTCCTCTTCCACAGCTAGTGTCTCCCACCATCCTATTTCGGTTCCTCTCACTATAAACCCCACTCCCACACCCTCCCATGAGACCAGACCCACCTCCCCTAATCCACTCGCAACCTCACCAAGCCTAACTTCTGATTCCTACACCCCTGGTGCTGCTGCCACGGGTACCTCTCCCTCCACTTTATCCATTCCAACATCCTCCAACCTTGAACCTTCCTCATCTCCTGTCATTCACCCTCACAATGTGCACCCTATGACCACAAGAGCAAAAGACGGTATAGTCAAACCACGTCTACAACCCACACTTCTATTAACTCATGTTGAACCAAAAACCACCAAACAAGCCTTATCTAATCCTACCTGGTCTGCTGCCATGCAAACAGAATACAATGCTCTTCTTCACAATGACACCTGGTCTCTTGTTCCTCTACCACCGCACCGCACTGCTATAGGTTGCAAGTGGGTCTTCCGTGTCAAGGAAAATCCTAATGGTACGGTCCAAAAGTACAAAGCACGTCTTGTTGCCAAAGGATTTAATCAACAATTTGGCTTTGACTATCATGAAACTTTCTCCCCTGTTATCAAACCCGTCACTGTCAGGCTCATTCTCACCCTTGCCCTAACTCATCGTTGGCCCATTCAACAACTAGATGTTAACAATGCTTTTCTCAATGGCACCCTTGAAGAAGAAGTCTACATGACACAACCACCAGGATTTGAAGCATCTGATAAAAATCTCGTCTGCAAACTACACAAAGCCATCTATGGGCTCAAACAAGCACCTCGTGCTTGGTTTGACAAGCTCAAATCAACTCTGCTGCAATTAAACTTTTATGCCAGCAAATGTGATCCGTCTCTGTTTGTATACTCTCATGCCAATAATGTCATCTACATTCTGGTGTATGTTGATGACATTATAATCACTGGCAATAATTCCACAATTCTTCATACGCTTGTCTCTCAACTCCATTCAATCTTCTCTCTCAAAGACCTCGGTGATCTTGATTTTTTTCTTGGCATTGAAGTAAAATCTCAGCCTGATGGTTCTATAAGTAAATATTAAAAATAGAATAAAGCAATAATAAATACATAAATATTATATGAAATTAATTTTTATCATTATTATTTCCGAAACGTTTCCAAATATGTTTAATAAGATCTGCTTAAAATCTGGTAAGGAACGGTTGCTTGAGGAAACAACTCTCTCTTCTTCAAGCAACTCATGTTGCCACGTCAGAGTTCTCCAATGGTAAGAAACGAGAACTTGAGTTGCTTCATAAGACAAGCAACTCCCATTAGAGTTGCTCTAACAAGTTTCGCTCACGAAGATCGGTTATGAAAATAATTGATGAATGCTTCATAATAGCATGGTTATAAAAAAAAATCAAGTTATATCTTTGATCACACATTATTGAATTCACAAATTTTTTTTATAGTTAAATCAATTTGTATGTCCTTATAGTGGTTTCAATGTTTTTAATTGAGTCCCTATAAATAAAAAAAAATACTTTATAAAGATCTTTATAATTTAAAAACATTGCAATAAGTCTTTCACACATTAATATCGAATTTTTTGTATTATATTGGTGGAATATCGTCACATCACACTTACCTTTTAATATCGTATTATTTTCATTTTAAAATAAAGTTTGAATTTTGTACATGAAAAATTATCTGATTGAGAAAGTGAACCCACTTAAGGTTAGTAATAAATTTCTCTCACGAAGACCAGTTATCAAAACAGTTGACGAATGCATCATAATATCATGATTTAAAAAATTCTTAGTAGTTAAATCTTTATTCACGCGTTATTGAATTTGCAAAAAAAAAAAAAATAGTTAAATCAATTTGTATGTCCTTATAATTTTGTCAATGTTTTTAATTGAGTCTCTATAATTAAAAATACTTTAGAAAGATCCTTATAATTTAAAAACATTGCAAAATAAGTCTTTCATACACTAATATTGAATTTTTTATATTATATAGGTGGAATATCATGACATCACACTTACCTTTTAATACCATATTATTTTCACTTGTTTCAAAAACTTCTTATTAAATTCCTAGTTTTAAAATGTTAAATACACCAAAATTATAATTAATTTCAAAATTAGATTTAAATTATATATCAATTATAATCTCTTTGATAATTTTTAATTGAAATCTATTAAAAAAAACTAAGGAAAAGATTAAAAACAAGACTTTTATCCGCATAATTTAAATTTTCACTTAATTACATAAAATACATTACTATTTTATTAAACTAAAGATTAAATACATGTATATATATATATATATATATTTGTTAAGTTCTAATAATTTTATTTGTGCAATACACATGTTAAATGCTTATTATATATAAAAAATATTTTAAAAATTATATGTATCAATAATTACTATGTTTGATGATATAAGTTATATTAGGGTTTTAGACTGTGTAATGTCCATGTTAAATATTTATTATATATAACTAAAATTTATAAAAAAAATTATATACAACTAAATAATATTTTTTACATATAAATCATATTTAAAATGTATGTAGAAAAATATTTTTAAACATAGAAATTAAATTTTATAATTATGATAAATAATTTATATTGTAACACAATATTATTTTTATGTATTGATAAGTTATATTAAAAATATTAAAATTTAGTTTGTAAATACTTATAATAAATAAAAATCACAATTAGATAAGAGGTAAAAAAAATCACTAAAGTCTCTCTCGTCAAAAAGGAGCCCCTAACAAAACGTTATGATGCGAGATAGAGGTTTGTGCTAAATATATAGAAGTTGATTTGAAATATGAATTAGTACATATTTTTAAAATTTAGATTTATGCTAAATAATGTATATTGTAGGAAAAATTATATTTAGTTATTGATAATTTATTTTAAAAAACTTAAAAATAAAATTGTAAATAATTATGATAAATAAAATTTGAATTATATACGAAGTTGAAAGAACTCCTAAAATTCCCCTCGTCAAAGGAAAACTCCTAATTAAAACACTCTCCGACGATATAGGCATCTATGTTTTATATACAGAGGGTTGATCTCATTCATAAAAAATTCTGTTAAAAAAATATAAATTAGATATGGAGTTAAAAAGCTTCCTAAAGATGTTTTCGTGCAAGATAATTGTTCATGCATAGTATATTGGGATTGATTTAAAAATATTAAAATTTAAATCATAAATAATTATAATAAATAGAAACAAAACCTTTCATGAGTCTCGTTAGTAAAAAGTCCCTAAAAACTTTCTTGTACCAGACAATTGTTCGCATTCAATATATAGGGGTTCATATTAGTTATATAAAAATTATTTGTATAACAATTACAATATAGTTTTCTTTCAAATTCCTTTTCTTTTACATGTATTTTTTATTTTTTTATCTTTAAAAATAATTAAATTTAAGATATTATAACATTAAAAAAAAGGTGAAAATCATTATTTCTTTTTAAATTTAGAAGGTTTTTTTTTTTTTCCATTTCTTTTCGTGAATTCAATTCAAAGAATATCCTTTTTTTTTTTACTTAAATAAATTGTGAAAAGTTGAGAAAGTCTTAATTCTTAGACATCATGTTTAGGTTCTCAATTTTCTTAATCTCAAAGCCACATTTTTTATACTACTTTATTTATATAGTTTAACATGTTATTATTTTCAACAAAAGATATAAAATCAAATATGAGAATTGTCATTTTTTGGTTGATATTTCTATGAATAAAATTGGGGAATCTCAAAAACATGTATAGTAAAAGTTGACAAATATTTGATTTGAAACTAATTACATTACTAATTATTCAAGGGTGTTTTACACCACAATATTATTTTTATGTATTGATAAATTATATTAAAAATATTAAAATTTAGTTTGTAAATATTTATAATAAATAAAAATACAATTAGATAAGAGGTAAAAAAATCACTAAAGTCTCTCTCGTCAAAAAGGAGTCCCTAACAAAATGTTATGATGCGAGATAGAAGTTTGTGTTTAATATATAAAAGTTAATTTGAAATATGAATTAGTACATATTTTTAAAATTTACATTTATTATAAATAATGTATATTGTAGCAATAATTATTTTTAGTTATTGATAATTTATTTTAAAATAAAATTAAAATTACAAATAATTATGATAAATAAAATTTGAATTAGATACGAAGTTGAAAGAACTCCTAAAATTTCCCTCGCCAAAGGAAAACTCCTAATTAAAACGCTCTCTAACAATATAGGCGTCTGTGTTTCATATACAGAGGGTTGATTTAATTCATTAAAAATTATGATAAAAAATCTAAATTAGATATGGAGTTAAAAAAAATTTCTAAAGACGTTTTCGTGCAACATAATTTTTCATGCATAGTATATTGGAATTGATTTAAAAATATTAAAATTTAATTTATATATAATTATAAAAAATAGAAACAAAACCTTTCACAGTCTAGTTAGTAAAAAGTCCCTAAAAAATTTCTTCTACCAGACAATTGTTCCCATTCAATATATAGGGGTTGATATTAGTTATATAAAAATTATTTATATAACTATTACAATATAGTTTTCGCTCAAATTCCTATTTTTTACATGTATTTTTTTTAATCTTTTAAAATAATTAAATTTAATAAATTATAACATAAAAAAGGTAAAAATCATTATTTCTTTTCAAATTTAGAAGTTTTTTTTTCATTTTTTTTTGTGAATTCTATTTAAAGAATATCCTTTTTTTTTTCTTAAATAAACCATGAAAAGTTGAGAACGTCTCATGTTTATGTTCTCAATTTTCTTAATCTCAAAGCCACATGTTTTATACTACTTTATTTATATAGTTTAACATGTTATTATTTTCAGCAAAAGATATGAAATCAAATATGAGAATTGTCATTTTTTGGTTGATATTTCTATGAAAAGATTTGGGGAATCTCAAAAGCATGTATAGTAAATGTTGACAAATATTTTATTTGAAAGGAATTACATTACTAATTATTCAAGGGTGTTTTACACCACAAACTCCGACCATCTCCGATCATTACAATAGAACTTTACTTCAATCACTTCTTTTATTTTACTTTTATAAAATAATCATTCATAAAACTTAATTCTTTTTACAATGACAATAATAGTAATATTCTGAACCTTGTTTTCCACATATGCCAGATTGATACCCTTCTCCAAGGCAACATTGATTGCAAAAATAATTACTTAGACATTTTACTCCATCACATTGTGATGCAAGCGGCGACACGTCACTGAGTACGGTTGAATATCCTACATTGAAAGTTCCTTGCTTTTGTTATTTGAAATTTTAACATAAAATTTATATGAAATTTGGACAATTGTTTTGCCCTTTGTTTTGAAACAACATTCCATAAAATAATATCAAATAAATGTTTTATGAGAATTATATGTAATAATAATATAAAAAAAAAATTGCAAAAGTTAAACGTTTAACAAATTACCTAAACTTAGAACAAATGCAACGCATAAAATTCCCAAGATAAAAGGTTGATCAAAGCGAAAAGTCATTTCAAAAGTTTTTGTGTTTTCAATTTGTGATCTTTTCTTGTGACATGTATAGTTTATTCTTTAAAGGATATATATATATATATGTGTGTATGTATTGAAAGTTATGATTTTTCCTTTTCACTAAACAATTATGTATTATTATTGTTATTTACAACAAAAACTGTTTTCAAAAGGTTATTTTTTTGAAATGATGACAGGTTTATAAGTTGTTGGAATGATATTAAATAAAAATAAAATTATAAAATATTCACATTTATAAAAAAGATTCAATTGATTTTAATAGTGTTATATATTTTTTTTAATGTTTTGGTTTCTAAATGTTATAAAACATACATTTAAAAAAGTGGGTTTAAATTTTGTATTAATTAAGGATGTAAAACTTTCATATTTCTACATTACTCATAAATTTTGCGGTGTATATTAGGAAGCATTGAGCATTCACCGTTAACTTGAAAATTAAGTTACAATTGTATCAATTTTAATGTGCTACAAAAATAACATCGAACAATTCAACAATTAATACTGACATGTCGATTTAGGTGTCTGATTTCTCTTAAAACAAGGTTTGAATTTTGTAGATGAAAGATTATATGATTGGGATAAGAAATCCACTTAGGGTTGTTAAGAAGTTTCGCTCACGAAGATCGGTTATGAAAACAATTGATGAATGCTTCATAATATCATGCTTATAAAAAAAATCAATAGTTATATCTTTGATCACACATTATTGAATTCACAAATTTTTTTATAGTTAAATCAATTTGTATATCCCTATAGTGGTTTCAATGTTTTTAATTGAGTCCCTATAAATAAAAAAATACTTTATAAAGATCTTTATAATTTAAAAACATTGCAATAAGTCTTTCACACACTAATATCAAATTTTTTTTATTATATTGGTGGAATATCGTCACATCACACTTACCTTTTAATATCGTATTATTTTCATTTATTTCAAAAACTTCTAATTAAATTTCAAGTTTTAATATGTTAAATACACAAAAAATTATAATTAATTTCATATTTAGATTTAAATTATATATCAGTTTTAATCTCTTTCATAATTTGTAATTTACATCTACTAAAAAAGCTAAGGAAAAAGATTAAAAACATAATTTAAATTTGCATAATTTAAATTTTTTACTTAATTGAGTTTATGAAATACACAATATACATGATTATTTTATAAAATAATATTTTACTTTTGCCATGTATTATTTTGTCGTTAAAAATACGTAAAAATAAATCATTTTCAGTTTCTTTTTTTATACCGACTTTTTGGCACGTATCTATTACTTGTTTTTGCCTATCTATCAACACTTTTTTTTTTAATCTAGAGTGTCTTGTACAGAAACTGTGCTAGAGAAGTTTTAGGTAAGTTTTTCATATGTTCTTTTTATTTTTGGAGCATGTGGGTAGTTTAAAGTTGGGCCCGAAGGAGATGGATATAAAGGGTTAATGCTTGCAATGCATTAATAACTTATACTGTAGAGTGATCCTTCAGTTTCACATAAATATCACCTGCGGAGAAAAAGGTTGTGCTTGTTTGCTTGGTTTAGTCCAACCCTTATGTAACCTCACTATCGTTGTATATTCTTTTATCTCTTAATTTTTGGATTCAATTTTGTTATTTAATCAGATGATGGATTTGAAGAAAAAAAAATACATTGTAGGAAGTTTTATAATTATTCTTTTATCTCTTAATTTAGTTATTTTTTTAAAAATTTATATATACACACATTTAAAACTTATTTCTCTAAAATTAGAGGAGACAAAAAGTTGTCTCATTTGAGTTGTAAAAAGAAAATAATCTTTTTTATGTATAATAATTTGTTTATATGGTAAGCTCCAAATTATATTAAAATTTATGGTGCAACTTAGCTACTTGAGTTGTTTTGGAGCTGCTCGTGATGGAGATAATCCAGCACTGACCAGGAGTACATTTCTCATCACCAAGGTTCATTTCTCGTGATCCTCCTTTAAAAAGGAATGACATAATCAAAAGTTTAATGCAGACAACTTTAATTAATTGAAGGGAACAGATTTGTTGGTTGTGAATGTGATATGGCACTATGGGGCAAACTGAAACCTACCAGCTATTGTCCCACGATCCTCCTTTATCTCTTTAATTAGCTTTAAAGAAAGTTGAGTGGTGAGGAATAATCATTTGTTTCAACCGTAGACCTTGTCATGTATCTTAGTAATCATGTTAGAGCAAAAAAGGAAAAAGATGCGTGAGTGGAGGTGGTGGAGTGGCGTACCCAACCCTTTCAGTGATGAGGAATCCATGTCCTCCAACCACTCACAGACAAAATGAGCTTCAGGGAAGAGAAAAGCGGGCTTAGCTTTACGACCCAGAAAAGATTATTTCAAACAACGTAAGGCTAGCTTACGAAATTGCGTGGTTAGTAACCCATAATCCTTTGTGTCTCTTTCTCATACCTAACGTAGTTCCTTGTGTTTGATTCTATATTTACTGGGTGAGCTTGGGTTGAGGGTGCGAAAGTTAATTAAAAACAAACATTAAACCCTACACGGCTGCACTTTTAATTTCAGTAGAAACAGTTTATGATACGCTATTTGAATACTTCACTTTGAACATGATTCCAGAATTTAAAATTTTCAAAATCCTGATTCTTATACATGAAAAAACTTCTCTCCTATCAAATCATTAAGATAATTGAAAGGAATTCCATGTATACACTTTGAACATGTCACGTCAAAGATGGGAGTGTTTCGGATGAAAGGAAATGGGAGACAAGTGCAAGAGCTTGGTCTGGTGCGAACACAGGAACTTGGTGGCCAGCACCTCTAATAGTGGCAAAGGTGAGGCCACCCTCATACTCCGCCACCCACCCTGCCACTTGAAGCTTATGAAACCATGCTCTCCACTCTTTCTTCACTTTCAAACCCATCTTGTTTATGCTGTATCTTGTTGATGTCACTGGAACTCTTCCATCAGTGTCCCCACTGCATCCATGCATGCATGTCAAAACACATCAACTTAATTCACAACAATCAATAATTAATTCAAGGCCTACGTACCTGTATATCCAAATACGTAACCCTGCTCGTAAGAGCTTCTTAATAACTGGCAGAATAGTGTTTGGCGAGTCATTCCATTTCTCTATTACAGCACTTAATTTCATCAAACAGAATAATTGACTTGTCAATAAGTCACAAGTTATTAGTGTATTAATACTCAACTAGTTTATTTAATCATATGTGAGAATTAATACGTACCTGCAAAGGGAATATGCATAAGACAAGTTGGTGATATTGGCATGGAGGGCTTTCTGAACATCCTTATTATTGAAATATTTTCGTATGTAATCTTCTGTACAGGGATCGTATCCTGATGCTAGCTTATGCCATTGATCCTATGAATAAAATGCAACAAAACACAGACCGTATATATAATTAAAAAATAATAATTATAAATTAATCTAAACGCTTGTTTATATTCAAGTTAAAAATACTTTTGAGAATTTATTTACCGAAAATAAAAGATATTTTTTAATAAGAAAACTCTCAAAATGCTTATATGTTAGAATCTAAATAGACTTTAAATAATAAATTTCTATTAAACATATATATGTGGTGAAAATAATTGATTAAAAGGATGAACCAAAGAGTAAACACGTACATGTCGCGTGAGAAGACGAGGAGTAACGACAAGTGTTGATGAAACTGCTCTTCGATGATTATCGAGGCAAATGGGAGAGTAAATGCTGAATATATCAATATCAGAATAAGATTTTAATAACTTAGCAATATTCAAGTCACAATCCCTTGTTTGGTTCTCCACACTAAAATCACAATCTTGTACTATTCCATGGTATACATGGTCTGAGATGATGGCATGACTCCAAGCATAATCAATCAAGCCCTTTGTATCTGCAAGATCATTCAATACAGCATTTCCCACCTAAATTTCGGTCACAACAGGGTTCATTTGTTAACCGGTTGCCATGTTTGTAAAAGTTAATGCAAATAGTTTATTTGAGTTGGTGACTAGAATCTTTTACATAATTGGATGAGTACAGTCTTAATTAGTTGAATAATGTTTGCGATCAACATCAACAAGAATTTATAACAATTCATGTACTTTTTCTTCGCTAATTGAAATAGACTTTTTACAATGAGGAAAATGAGATAAGAAAAAAATAAAGAATCAAGAAAAATAATAATAAATATGACAAAGAATATAATAAGAAATTTAGCTGTAAAGGTGAAGATATTAATATTCGTTGCCGTTGATTTACGAAAAGAAAAGTAGCGCGAGAAGAAAAAAAGCAAGCCAAGAAAGGAATAAGAAAAGGGTGTAAAGTGTAAAAAGAATGAGTTGCAAAAATATAGTTACCATGAATCCCTTGAGATTTATGTAAGAGTCTTTTTTGGGATCTTTGTTTCCTTCATAGATAAGTTCAGCAAGTTGTGGAACATAATGTCCTATAATTCCAAACATACAAAAAATGTGCATAATTAGATAATACATGATACTGATATATACATGACAAACTAATACATGTTCAATTAAAAAGTATACTAAAATATAAAAGATATTATTGACTATATTACTTAGACTAAGATAACGATCTTAATCATATATGGAGTATTATAATGGGAAAATGAGTAGATATGAAAAAGGGTACCTGCATAGCTCTCTCCTGCAATATAAAAATCGTGAGATTTGAAGCTTGTAAACCTTTGGAACCAACCAGTCAAGAAGACATAGTTATCAATAGCAGAAACACGATCTCCAAGCTCACGTAAATCTTTGGAATTGTTAGTGTAAGAAAAGCCTACACCAACTGGTGCTTCCAAGAATATGATGTTTGCAACTAGGGAATAGCAAGCAACATAGTCCAAATTAATTATGCATGTATCTAACTAAATACTTTAATTAACAAATAATAAATTATTAGTATATAGTAGTATTTGGTTACCTCTGTTCCAAGAGAATTTGTTAAGTTCGAGGCGTTCTTTGTCTTTCACAAGAAATGGACCAAGCTCTCGTGCTGCTCCAAAGGCAATGGACGAGCAACCAGGTCCTAGTATACAAAAGTTCCAGCAAATTAATTTAGGACATGATCAAATACTTTGTAACAAAATTATTTTATCCAAATTCATGCGTGCATGATGTTATATGACACACATGACGGTAAATACTAAATAAAAACGATTGCAGAAGTTGGTAAAAAAAAAAATACCTCCATTGAGCCATAAGAGAAGAGGTTGTTGTTGTGGTGTATGAGTGGCTTCAAAAAACCAGTAAAACAATGCTCTTCCATGAGTTTTATTGACAGTGATGTAACCGGCATAGTGTTTAAACATAACATCAGGTTGTCCTGGTAATTCATAGACTCTATCTGCTTCTTGCTCTGCCAATAATGACACACCTAAAGTTTGTTTGGTGAAAGATATAAGAAGCAGAAGAAGAACAACAAAATTTAACAAAACTGAAAACAAAGCCATTTCTCTTGATTTCTCAATTCACTTAACTACCACCACCAGGCGTGATGTTTGATTTAAACAAGGGAGAGTGTTGAGAAAACAGGCGTGATGTTTATTTTCAACAAGGGAGAGTGATGTGATACAATACAAGAGTGCGTGTCTATATATAAGAAAACAGGAAGAAAATATCTATGTAAGTGCACATGCCACATAGTTAGTGGTAAGACATACACTACGTCCTTTTCCTTAATATGATAGTGCCACAATTCAACAATTTTAAAAGCTCAACTATGTTTCCAATTCCATACTGTTTGTGAAATAATTAATCAATCACATGAATGACATGAAAAATTATTTGTACAATATGATTATAGCCACAAATTATAGCATCAGCTTTGTAAATCATTTCCTATTATTAATTAACTAATATATATGATATCATCAGCCATGTAACATCCTAAAATTTTTAAAAATATTAAAAGAATATTTTAATTAATTAAATAGATTTTATAATTACATTAAAATAATTAAATCATTGTGAATATTTTTATTAATTAAAAAAAGATCTATGAAATTATTTTTTATATTAATTATTAGAAATATAAATATATTTTATTTGTTTTTAACATATTTTGATTAAATATTACAACTTTAATTATTTTAAAGGTTTTATAGATAAGAATATTTTTATATAAGGAAAGTAAAGATTTTAAAATTATATTATTTTAAAATAAATATAAAATTTTTGTACATTACTCGTAAATTGTGCGGGTTATACTAAGGAAGCATTAAGTATTCATTTTTAACTTGAAAATTAGGTAACAATTGCATTAATCTTAGTGCGATACAAAAATAATATCGAACAATTAATACTAACATATTGGTTTAGGTGACTGATTCCAGTTAAATCAAGGTTTGAATTTTGTACATGAAAAATTATCTGATTGAGACAATAAACCCATCTTGGGTTAGCAATAAATTTCTCTTATGAAGATCGATTATCAAAACAATTGATGAATACATTATAATATCATCATTATACAAAAGAAAAATTCAGTAGTTAAATCTTTATTCACACGTTATTGAATTTTAATATTAACATTTGTTTTTACGTTGATTCCATGCTGTTTTCACATTTGTTTTTTTTGTTGGTAATTTGGGCCTAGATTTGATGCAATTTTTGGTGAAAACCAACCCAAAGGCTTGGTGCAAGGTAATTACATTTTGCACAACTAATTTTTTCTACATACATATCTTATCTCTCTCATTTTTTTTAAATACTTTTAATCTTACACTCGTAATTAAATTTTCAAAGTCTAATTTTCTTCTGGAATTATAATTTTGGAAACCTATTTGTATATTTCTTAAATTATAATTTCAAAAATTTACTTCTTACTCTCATTTTTAAAAATAAAATTTGAGATATCTATTTGTATATAATTATGAAAATATAATTTCAAAACATAGTTCTAAATGTATTTCTTTCATGAATATTATTCTAAATATATTCTAAAAGTATGTTTCCTAGATTATACAAATAGACTTCTAAATTTTCTTCGATATCATTACATGTCACTAGAACATTCTGAAAATTAATGTATCAAACAAAGACAGGATTTATTGCAAGAAGCAAAGACCAAAATCAATGAAAGGTATACCAAAGAAAGCAAGAGAAGTACATAAGAGTGTGTTTGACAATGTATATTAGGTATTATAAATTAATTTAATTAAAACAAAAGTATTTAATATGTAAGCTTATGTTAATTGTTTCTAATTTATTATAATAAGCTACTTCAACTATTTATAAAAATATTTTAGCTTGTAAGATACTAGTTTTTCTCATTAATTTATTAAAAATTTATTTATGTTTCAAATTTATTGTTATTTTTGGTTATTATAGATATTTCAGTTATTATAGATATTTCGATTATTATAGACCAATCTTAATTGGCTCTATATAAACCTGCCCTGTACTCTGTTTTCTGTTGGTTAATGAATTACATTCTTTTGCCTATTGTAAATCTTCTCTCATCTCTCTCTCGCTTTCTCTCTCTCTGTCTCACTCACATATAATTCCTTTATGGTATCATAGAGCTTCTTGATCCTCTTCTTCTCTCCGTTTCCGCTCGCGCAACATCTTCCTATGGCTGAATCTACCTCTACAATGAATTCTTCCCCACCACCAACGCCTCCTCCACCCATTCATGCTAACCCCGTAAACACCGTCCCTCCCAAGAATCCTCCCCCTAACTCTCATCCGTCTCTCACCTTCTCTCACCATCTCCGAAAAACTTGACACCAAGAATTATCTTCTTTGGTGTCAACAGGTTGAACCCGTCATCAAGGGTCACCGCCTTCATCATTATCTTGTCAACCCCCAGATTCCTAAGAAGTTTGCAACCCTTGCTGACCGAGATGCTGGTCGCATCTCTGAATCCTATCTTGCCTGGGAATAGCAAGACCAATTACTACTTTCTTGGTTACAATCCTCCATGTCTAAAGACATGCTTACACGAGTTATCGGTTGCAAATCCTCCTTCCAGCTTTGGGACAAAATTCACTCATACTTTCACTCCCATATGAATGCCAAAGCCCGCCAATTGCGCAATGAACTTCGCAATACAAGTCTTGAAAATCAGACAATCTCTGAATATGTGCTTCGAATTCAAACCCTAGTTGATGCCCTCACAGCCATCGGCGACTCTGTTTCTCCAAAGGAACACCTTGATATAATTCTTGAAGGCTTACCCGAAGAATACGAATCCACCGTGTCTCTCATCAGTAGCCGTTTTGACCTTCTGACCATAGATGAAGTCGAGACCTTGCTTCTTGGCCATGAATCCCGTCTTGACAAGTTCAAGAAGAAAGTCGCTGCCTCCATTAATGTCACCACCACCACCCCTGAACCCAATCTGTCTGTCACGAACCCACAAGCACATCTTGCCCATCAAGAAAACCAATCTGCCTTTTCTCAACGTCGAGGGGGTCGCACCAATTTTCGTGGTGGCTGTTTCTCCAACCGGGCAGGCCGTGGACGAGGCAGATTTGCTGGGTACCAATGTCAAGTCTGCCATAGGTACGGACATGTTGCTTCTGCCTGCTATTATCGTTTTGATGAAACCTATGTTCCATCCTCACCTCTTGAAGCACCCGCGTACCACTCTACCAACCAACATGCAAACACAAGCGTGTGGTATAGCAATCAACCTGCTTCTTCTTCTCTTCATCAAAATGGCATTCTTGGGCCTAGACCTCAATTTACTCCTCAAGTCCAATTCACCTCCACCCAGGCGCAACCTCAAGCCATGATTGCATCGTCCTCCTCTTCAAGCAACAACAATTGGTATCCGGATTCTGGGGCATCAAATCATGTTACCAATGTCTCTCAAAATATTCAACAATTTACTCCTTTTGAAGGACCCGATCAAATCCATGTTGGTAATGGACAAGGGCTTCACATTAACTCCACAGGTGTTACCACCTTTCATTCTCCAATCAACCCTAAGTTTCAATTTGCTCTAAACAATCTTCTATTTGTGCCCTCCATCACAAAAAATCTAATCAGTGTTAGTCAATTCTCCAAGGATAATTCTGTATATTTTGAATTTCACCCCTACATTTGCTTGGTCAAATCACAGGACACTAAAGAAGTTCTCCTCCAAGGCTCGGTTGGTCCTGATGGCCTGTACCAGTTTCCTGCACTTCTTCCAACTCCCAGTACACAATCTGTCCAGCAGGTGCAACCGGCCAGATCCTTCTCTGTTAATACAACAGCAAAGAGTTATGTTTCTTTTGCCACTTGGCACTCTAGATTAGGACATCCTAATGTTGATGTAATGAAACATGTTTCCCGGAACTTCAACATTCAACTTGTGACCAATAATAAATCAGATTTCTGCACTCCTTGTTGTCTTGGTAAATCCCACAGATTACCTTCCAATCTGTCTAAAACTGTTTACAATACACCCTTTGATTTAGTATACAGTGATTTGTGTGGACCTGCTCCGGTTACGTCAACCTGTGGATATCAATACTATGTCACCTTTGTTGATGCTCACACACGCTTTACGTATCTTCTCAAAAGTAAAGCTCAAACCTTTAATGTTTTCAAACAGTTTCACGCTATGGTTAAGAATCAATATCACCACCCGATCAAAGCATTGCAAACTGATTGGGGTGGTGAGTATCGTTCCTTCACTAATTATTTAAATGAAGTTGGAATTCAACACCGTCTAATCTGTCCACACACTCATCATCGGAATGGAGTTGTTGAAAGAAAACACAGGCATATTATTGAACTTGGTCTCACGTTGTTGGCTCAAGCTGAATTACCTATGCAATTTTGGGATCATGCCTTTCTCACTGGCGTTTATCTCATTAATCGACTTCCCTCCTCATCTATTCAAAATGCTATTCCTTATCACAAACTATTCCATCAACCACCAGATTATCTCTCTCTTAGAATATTTGGTTGCTCTTGCTTTCCCCATCTTCGGCCCTACAACAAACACAAACTTCAATTTCGATCCCAAGAATGTGTTTTTGTTGGTTACTCCACTTCCCACAAAGGTTACAAATGTCTTGCTGCTGATGAGCGTCTCTACATCTCCAATGATGTAGTGTTTAATGAAACTAAATTTCCCTAAAAGGAACTCTTCTCCTCTTCCACAGCCAGTGTCTCCCACCATCCTATTTCGGTTCCTCTCACTATAAACCCCACTCCCACACCCTCCCATGAGACCAAACCCACCTCCCCCAATCCACCCGCAACCTCACCAAGCCTAGCTTTTGACATCCCTGGTACTGCTGCCACGGGTACCTCTCCCTCCACTTTATCCATTCCAACATCCTCCAACCTTGACCCTTCCTCAGCTCCTGTCATTCACCCTTACAATGTGCACCCTATGACCATAAGAGCAAAAGACGGTATAGTCAAACCGCGTCTACAACCCACCCTCCTATTAACTCATGTTGAACCAAAAACCATCAAACAAGCCTTATCTAATCCTACTTGGTCTGCTGCCATGCAAACAGAATACAATGCTCTTGTTCACAATAACACCTGGTCTCTTGTTCCTCTACCACCGCATCGCACTACTATAGGTTGCAAGTGGGTCTTCCGTGTC